GTGCTCAACTCGCATTTAGCTGGAATGTAGCGCCACACATCATTCAGTCTTTTAGTTTGTGTCACAAGTTCTTCTGTTGTGAAGACCTCTCAAGAAAATCTCTGTAAGTGGAACGATTTCCTTTGCAGAGTAGAACATTTGAAACTTGGGATTTTGAAGTACTAAGTATGAGCGTCTTTTCGAACGCAAAGCCAGTCCAAGCTGAAAAGCACAAAAGCACTGGGTAACAATCAGGCAACATCAGCAACGGACATCGTAGGAAACTCGATAGAGGAATACACGCAGCGTTCTGGATAGGAAGTTGAAATCTGGTTCCTGATCAGTGTTGTTCAGTCTTCAAACGCGAGGATCATGAAGTGTGATCCAGTGTTGACTGACGAGCACGACTACCGTTCAAGGTTCAAGTCAGCTCCATCATCATTACGGCATCCCCTGACCGAAAAGTCGATCACTAGAAGTCGCCATCAAGGCAACACTTGACAATCCGGAAAGATATAATCCATGGTGTTCCCGTCCACCTGCATTCTAGCTGGGCACCGTGAGAGTGCGACTGCTGAACCTAAGCTTCAGTCGCTTTTCTTCCGATAACCATCAAAGCCTACATGGTTGAGTACTTGTTGGAATTGTTTTGAGAACTAAACAAATAGGGAAAAGTCAAGTGAATACACGTTTTTGTCTTTCCATTCTGATGTTTCTGTAATGCTGGACTGTTGAAGGACCAAGAACTGTGCCTGCAATGCTATATTACGATATATCAACGAGACAGACCTCTCTGAATCTGAAATCGGGAGGCGATTGAGACCTACTAAAGTTTGATTAATGCGGTCTTTACGAGCTGCGTTTTACTAGCCCAATTGAACAGATGACCAGTGGAACGATCTGGTAATTGATCAGGTGGCTGTTGGTCTGTTCGCCGAGCTTGGCAATTGGCTTGCAAACGTTTCGTCACCATACGAGACATCATCAGTGCGCAGTTGAGTGGGTCACTCAAAAAATACAATTATTAAGAAGACACACGTTCAGCTGTGACACCCTTTTGGTGCCTAGCTGCCACGCCACCCAAAGGGAGCACTGGGGCTGGGATACTGCCATACTGCGCAAGCCTAGACAGGAGAAGCTGAGGTCGGGTTCGAACCACGGACCTTCCGGTCAGTAAATTCTCACTCTAACCACTGAGCCATCTCGCCCTACTGGTCAAATCCGTACACTTGTTTGGTTAGCTGGGTCACGTTGTTCGAATAGAGCGAGCGACTCGAGCGCAGTGTTGCTCGCAGTATCAACTGGATTGGGACCAAAGGAGGAATGGTCAACCGAGGACATTGTCTTGGGCTAGAAAAGTCCTAACCACATTGCTAAGCAAACTTGGCGAACCCTCACCTATCAAGTTGAGGACACTCGGCGCCAGTCAGCTTCGATAGGGCTACATAACACAATCAAAAACGAGCCTGTTTCATATCCTGTGCTCTGTCCTTGGAACCCAGTTGGTCGCTATCTTCCGACAGTTTTCCCTTTTTAGGATCGAGATTCTCCTTTTCACCATCAGTAGTGCTCATCCGGGACGACGGCATTACAACTAGCCAATGTATTCCACACTTGAGAAACTGATGACCGGGACGGTGGTATGCAGTGACCAAGATCATTGTACTCAAGTGTAATCGTTATGAAGGTGGGAGCGGCAATCGTATCAGAGCAAAAACGCACACCATAGCGCAACAGGTTGGGTATATTTTCCAAACATGGGCGTGACACAGTCGCGAAGGACGGATAATTTTGGAGTAAAGTGTGGAAGGCCAGAGATGGGAAAAGACTCAGATGCATGTAGTCCTCAATGGTAAGAGCAGAACGAAAGAACGATGGTACGGACTGGAAGAAAATGCTCATAAACGGCGACCAATGGAACGGGTCATGTCAAACCAGCAGCCTGGCATACTCCTGGAGCTGAAATACAATGTATGAAAATAGAATTCTAATGAATGAACAGAGCAGACGGAACGACCAAAATCCCGTGGGTAATGAACGCGGGGCAAAGATATGATAAAACAACGTGAAATCAATCGATCAGAACACAGTAAGAGATCAGGGATAAGAAAAAATAATACAACCTCAAAATACACAGGTGAGCAATCTGACAAAAAATAGTAGTAAGACAGAAGCACAGGCATTGCGGTGAGCAAGAGAGACCTTCGCAGGTAGTATCAGATCAACGGACGGGCGAGATGAACCCGAACGATCCGGGACTAACAACAGTGCAGCTGGGTGCAATCAACAGCTGGAAGGATTATCACAGTTCACGAGGTGCCACGTATTAAAACGACGAAAGGTGTACAATTCCACGTGGCCAGTTACGTCTGGATGATGAGCGGCACGGAGCAATCCGTGGTTGTCTTGAATTGGCTTCCTGTACACGAGGTTCGTCAAAGAATAGTACAGTTATCCTGAAAAATTGTCAAACAGAGTACGACATTCGATTAGTTCCAAAGCAAGGTTCAAGAAAGTGAAACTGTTTGTCGAGCGTTGGGAAAAACCAAAAAAAAACAAGGAAATAGTCTACCTACCCGACTGTCTGTAGAAGTGGATCGCTGGGAAACTCCAAGTGTAGGAGGTCTGGAATTTGTGTGAGGACGAGGAGGCACTCCCGTATGGCGAGCTGTAGCACTATGCCGTCGCCGCTGATCAACGGAATCTGTTGTGCCACGCGCGGGCGTAGATGGGTGCTCGGATCGATTCCGTTCACTGCGAGTGACTTCCTCCCACTGAAGTCTCAGCGCCACATCCAAATCGGAACCGCTTCCGAGTTCTTCTTTTGCGAGTGCAAGAACTTTGCTAAAAAGACGGTTGGTGAAGTGAGGAGGTGAATAGATGAGTCCGTTGACGGAAATTTGTAAACGGTGTGGGTGACGACAGCATGAAGGTTAGGTGACCTGTGCACAATTAAGAATATTTCGTAAAAGCTAAAAGTCAAAACTATTCGTTTATGCTGAGGTATTTCTTCTCAGTGACTGAATAACAAACACTATCACAACATTTTGATATACTCGGAGTTAAATTCAGGAGCTAAACCTCTTAAAACGAAACCGAGACTTCATGTAGAACCTCCTCTTAGAGCGATTAATAAGAGAGAATCACACACTTCCTTCCAGGGTATTAAAAATAAAATCGCTCAGCTGTAACACCCTTCCGGTGCCTAACTGCCATGCCACCCGGGGGAAGCACGAGGGCTGGGATACTGCCAGGTCGTCCAGGCCTAGACAGGGGAAGTCGATTGGCAGAGGTCGAGTTCGAACCACGGACCTTCCGGTCAGTAAATTCGCGCTCTAACCACCTGGGCCATCTTATCCAGACTAGTGCCTTATGATCGTAAATTGACTGATAAACGTAGGTGAACCAAAGAATTTCCACAAGATAGTCAATTTTCTTGATGTTCTAGGAAAACGGTGCTTTTAGGAGCAGTCATTTGACAATGTTCGCTCTCTGGTAGCCCATATAAATAACTTCGGCCAGATGAGGGAGTAACCGGTCGTAAAATGGCATGATCTCCTTCAGATAAGGATCAATCAACTAATATCAGATTACGCAAGCATAAGGTTTTATCACAATAGCAACCCAGTAATAAGTAGATCGTCATTTTTGTGCGAATTTCTGGTAACTTTCATCCCATTTACTTGGCTATTTTCATGTTCATTTTTGAAAGTTGAACTCCGGCTTCAAACAATTTCCAATGAATACGAAGAGTAATGCAATAGAAACCATCTATGGTAGAATGACCGGGCACAATAGACAGACAACCAAATGGCGACCAATACCGGAAGCTGAATGCATCACAAAACAATGCAACAGAGAGCTCCAAGGGACAGAGCAAGTGCCCATGCCTAACTCAGGCCTGAGTTGGGAATTGGATAGTCAGGCGGGCAAGATAATGGACTATACCAACCGGGTGTGAGCTTCTGATCACCTAATGCCCGCTTCCAAACTCTCCACTACTTAGTTACTCCTGAATAAAAATTCTGTCTCACTAGAATCATGATCGAAATGAGGACGATAGCTACGACACAAATGGCAATGACCCTGAATGATGGGGTCACTTACAGGACAGTGTTCGGGGAAAATGTGTTCACCATGTGTGATCACAAGGTCCTATCGCTGTTTCGCATCACAGTCGGACACAAAGTAAACACAAACAACCAAATCTACCGAAGCTGGGTGAAACGATAAAAGGGAAACACAACCCCAAGATTATGGCTCTTACCCAGAACATATTTTGGGCAGATTGTCTGACGAGAGGATGCTGTTCGATTCTTGTATACCATCGGCGGATTGGGTAGTGCGATCGACAATCTGAGCGACTTTTTTCTCACTGATACCGGCTATGCTATTGGAAGATTTCAATTCCTCCAGCTGAAGTTGAACAGCCAGGCTGAGGTCACTGTCCATTTTGTTCGCGTTGGTGGATTCCAGCTTCATGTGCCTGATAGGACGGTTTGGGTGATGATGAATGGACAACGAAAATGTTTAGTTTACGGTCACGTATCTTACACTGTTCTTTTGAGAGCATTTTTTGCTGACAATCGTCCTATGACTGAGGTTCTGGTGTTGAGGCTCGACGATCTCATCTGACCTAGTGAAAATCGTGCGTGGTGTGGCAGTTAGTAGGTGTGCTACGACCATCGAGTTTATGCAGGGTACCCCAGAATGGAGGTTAAGGCCTTTTCATCGCGTTTGCAAAGAAAATACAGGCGCTGGTGGAAAGAAATAGTATGCCGTTAAGTTAACGGGAGACTCGAGTGAATCCCAGCTGAATCTCTCGTTCATGGCATACGTCAGCTGGATCAGCCGCATGAAAGCCGACTTGTACTTCAGTTGGGAGGATAGTAAAGATATCAAGGTATGTTTTCTTGATGGAACGCTAATTGATGAGACCCAAGAAGAGTGAAACGGGTGATGGGCTGTCAAAGGGTTTTCAGCAACTCGATGAGTAGTATGTTCCGCCGACAGAACGCCATTCAGTTATCTTTTGTCATCCCTCGGAGGGTCAATTGCTCTTGGCCAGATTGCCTTTGGCGTCGTGGATCATGGTCACCAGAAAAGCTGGACGTTCACAAGATGAAAAATAAATTAAACTGTCATGTCATCCCTAAACGAGAATATGCTTGTACAGGCAACAAAAACTCACTCTGTACATGCTTGAGCCAACTCCTCGACTGAAGTTGTGCGTCTTTTCCCGGATTCAGCTGCATCGTACGACGAGCTGCTGATACGGATTTTCCCTCTTGTGACTGCCTCGGGCGCCTTGATACCAGGCGCATTCACCAGCTCCACAGTAGTTTCTGTCTCACGAATCGGATTGTTGGCGACCGAATTGTTCTCCAGTACACTTGATACGGGCGAGTGCAGTTGAAATGCTTCATCCACAAATTGAGTGTTCCCGTCCACGTCGTTCAAAACCTCCCATACGATATTGGGTTCGTTAGAGAGTACCTGGTCGGTTACAAGAACTAGAATACGGCCCTGGTCGGGGAAATTACAACAGAAAGGCACTTTGGATTCCAGATAGTAAGAGTCGATGACTGTTATGCGTTCGAGTGAAAGTTGCCGGAGTGGCCACATCACGATTTTTGGATCACTTCAAACTACTAATAAGAAGCAATCTGATCTGGATAGAGCGATAACAGCCATTTTGTAGTGAATCAAGGACACAAACTGAACTGATTACAGTTGAGTGGGATTAATCCAAAGTGAGAGGGGATACTGACTTTAACTATATGGGAAAAGTATTTATTGACGTTTATGGCGGCATCGGGCGAATCAGTTACATTGCACAAACGTGGACACTTTCGTCTGTTCGGACGGAATAATCCAGCTAGGTCCAGCATGTGCTGGGAGAATAGGGGCGATACAATCACCTCACAGATGTCCGGAACTCTAGTCCCAGCATGCTCAGAGATACGCACTGCTGGTGAGGCACAAAAGGAGAGAAACTCAAGTTCGGTGCTTCCATAGTTCGGCGTGAACTTACCAGACCATTCAACCAAGGCGAAATTTCAATGTTCAAGTGTTGAACGAGAGTATATTCCCCAATCAAGCCATGTGTAGCGCCAAAACCACTTATCAATGTGCCAAAGTAGCCACCAGCATGAGACAAGAGTAGGGATGGTTATGTCGCACTGAGGATGGGTATGGCCAACGAAAGCAGGTAGCCTGATGCACTTCAGTATTTTGCGAGCAAATTTTGGTTGAAAACCGATTATTAGTAATTCAGCAGTTGCTTCAACCGAAATCTTTATCTGGCACGACAAGCTATTCGTGTTGCAAAGTCCGGCCGTATTTTTCTAAAAAGAATGCCGTTTCCCGCGCCCAAACCTGTCGACATGTGAACTGGTGGAATGGTATGAAAGAAATTAAGTCTGGGTAGATTTGATGCTGACCATTTCCAGGAGTAAAACCACCCACCCTTCCAGGACCCACTGGGCCTTGGCTCCAGGCAAACAAACGGGAATGTTGGTTCCAGTCGTTGCAGGTTACACTAGCAACAAAACTAATAAATAGGGACGGAGCGAGAAGGCTCAGTGGTTAGAGCGCGAATTTACCGACCGGAAGGTCCGTGGTTCGAACCCGACCTCTGCATCTCAACTTGGAGGTATCTCGGTTCTTGTGATACCTTCTGGTGGCACAGCTAAACGATTTTATTTTTTTTTACTATTCCGCTCCAGTATGAGTCCCAGAATTTCGATAAGCCTTGTTTGTAGCCCATCAAACTCCAGTGGTTGATGTAGAATTGGCTACCATTACGATAAGGAAACGGATATCGTAGGTTCATGTTATCGCGATTTCGTGTGTTCAAACAGCGCCTACAATCGTCCATGGATTGGTAATGTGTTGGAATATTGGTGGGTCGGGTGCATTAAGTGGCAATTGGTCAGCTGACCGTTGATTCGTTCACCGAGCTTGGCATGTGATTTGCAAACGTTTCGTCACCATTCGAGGAAACATCTTCAGTGCGCTGTTCAGTGTAGCTTCTTCGTGCGCGCGTTTTGACCCATAGATTGGTATTCACTTGAGTTTGGCCATTCATACGTTAGCCGTGTACAACGAGAATGTTGATTCCAGTCGCTGCAACTATACTCACTAAAAAGCTATTGAAAAGGGACTAGACTGAGAACCTCCAAATTAAATGCTCTAACCGATCCCTTAGGGCTGACAGAGTGGAAGTGAGACAATTGTGCATTGAAGGCGTCGTCGACGCTTTGATGAGGTGACCGGTATTGTACACAACTGCAGAAGATGCATCAAGGCTAGAGTATGCCGTAAACAGATTATCTACTGGCAATTGTGCCGATGTGTCTCAGGCAGTCCCTTTAGTCCTGAAGAGTCGAGAGCCGTCCTACAGTGCTGCGCAAATCAGCCTGATCCACATAGCCACAAAAATCTTACAGTGCACGTGTAGTTCTTGCCACGTAACTGTCGCTCACGTCATCAGTCGGCTCACTCGGCCATCAATACGGACAGAAGAGACGGGCGTCTATCAGAGCGCGTTGTGAAAAATCTCTAAGACAACAACATGCGCTGCTTATGGAAGCCGGTTGACTGTTCTAGCGATTTCTTGGGCATGAAGACCGGATCGCTAGTGCAGAAAAAGCGGAATATTTAATAGACTAAAGGGGGTTCAGCGATTGGTTTACCTACCTGAGATGCTGCATTAACTTTCGGCCTCGTTCGTTAAATGAACACAAAGGACCACATTGTTCTGTGTGGGTCGACGGTGAGTAGAACCAGTCCAATCATCAAATTAATTGCCGAGTATTGAGTACGCACTTAAAACGATATTAATTACCTCTGAACAGCAGACGGCGCAACAAAAGGTACAACGTAACCAGACATAACCAAGGGAGATGACAAAACCTCACAGTATGACAGAGTAGAGTATGAGATCAGAATACAAGGCCTCGGTGCCATCAACCACAACGTCAATCGACCCGCTTACCTCAGTCTTGTAGATGGTATTGTAGTGGTTGTTGCGGAAGAAAACAGCCAACTGTCCATCGGAAACTGCCGAATACAACTCACATAGCCCGTGATACGTGAGTTGTGAAGCCGTCTGAGCGAGAAAATCTTCCGCTAACAAACCTATTTGAGTTGTACAAGCAAAGTGGGATCGATGTCAAACCTAATCATGGTAGTAGAAGTGTTGAATCTGTTTCGAAACAGACAATCCTATGTTGAACAGTACAACAAATGCCACAGCAGGAAGTGGAGAATTCCGCTACAAATGATACGAATACTTGGTCTGAATAGAAACGGACAACACACGCATCACTTGTAGGCCGATCTAGGAGAGATGTTACGATCGCTCCTCCTCATCGACCTACGGTTTGGCACGAGGGAAAATGTATCTATGTAAAGCTCGGAAGCCGTGCATTATTTGACGACCGACGTTAATTTTCTTGCAGTGAGGTAGGTAACACTGCAACGACGCCAATACGAGCATCGAATCTACGAGGTTTTGGTTAGGAACATTTGATAAAGTTGTATGCTACAGCAATCAACATGAAGCCACCCGGTTGCGACAGGGTGATTTGAATGGCTTTCACCTCAATCTCGGACCTATATTGTGCCGTTCACTGGTAAATGCCCAAACCCACTTCAGGTCCCAGTGCGTGCTTGTCAAGTCGCGGCACACCAATTAAAAAGGAGGATTAGGCCGAATAGGGATATTGGAGACCGGAAATTCTGGTAGGTCTCAAAAGCGAAAACGATGTATGGCGACTGAAAGAAAAGGATTAAGTCATGTCCAAAAGCTAGTCCAGATATTCTGCCAAACGATTTATCATTCCAGTCAGTTTTTTTAGATCACATGCAAATGGAAAAAGGGTTACAGGTGCGTCACCGTACAGAAAGCCTGGTGTTTTCGCCAACATTCTGGATACGAACGATATGAATGCCGTGAGTGGATTTTGTTGAGAATCGAAGTTAAAACCCGATGGTGTTTCTCATTGACGATAAAGTTATTTCGGCTGACATGTCGAACAAACAGAATAGGTTCGATTTTGCGCATTCTTTGCACTAGTCTGAAATCAGTTGACAATGTGTTAACGGGGGAAAAAGTGCAAGTTTAAACAAGAAATGCCTACAGAGAACACCACAACACAAAGAGAGAGCAGCACCGATGAGTGTCGCCTGATGGTGATACAGATGACGGTAAAACTTTCCAAAGAACTTGTCAAGATCAGTGAACAAGATCTGTCGGTCTGGTGTACTAAAACTGACTCTGATCGATTTAAACGGTCCTCTGTGTCTTGAGTCAGATGGTGATATTGACGAGGTCATATTCGCTCACACTGTGCTGTTCAAAAATAAAAGCTAAACAATAGACGTGTAAGCCAGAGGACGAAATCTACGTGCAAGTAAGTCTTCAAATCACGTCTTGTTCCTGAACGGTAGCTACAGGACCTACTTATATGTCCTACACACAGAACACGTACAGTGCTCACCTACTGAGCAACCGGGTCTAGTGAAGATCGAAAATGAAAGCGTTCACTATGAGTAACGCCGAAAAATCAACTGGCTAAAGGTACACTCAATCAAGTTCTGCAAGTGAATCGGGGCTTGTTAAATCGCGAATAAAACCGGAGAAACTGTTTGCCAGAGTTTTTTGGTTCATTCTTCGGTTGTTGCTCTTTCGATCTCCAACCTGAACTGTCAGGCCAAAACGAATGGAAACATTTGCATGCGTTGCATGACATCACTTGCTCCCTTAATGCGGAAATGCTGGTCGAATCTCTTCACTCTTGACTCCTTCCCCACGGTGCTGTGTGTCACCGCGTCACCTACTGACATTAAAACATGTGTTCTATTTCAAAAGCTTCACAGGTATAGGTGCATTTCCGACAAAGCGAAGAGACATCACGGAATATCCGCAATAATCACAAAAATATTCAGTTGAACTTTACGGTGAATCAAAACGGGCAACAAAATCCTTCAGTCAACTTCAGGTGTGCTCAGACAGAACCCAAAGAACGGTGATTAAATCGGGTCACCTAAATCAAGTGGAAATGACGATTTCCGATGATACGAATGTGGAAACAAAACTCAGCAATTATTCACCAAATGGCAAATTAGTGGGTCTGTGAAACTGCAGCATTGGTTGGTTAGGTCCCCGTCACCGGGACATCAATAAGATATTTGGTCTCCATGTGTAGATACACGAGAAATCTCGGTACCTGGCTACCGGTATCCTCGATGAGAACATCAGATCAGCAGTGCTTAGGAAGAACGTTGTTCACGCTGGTACTTCGCAAACAGCGTTTACGCAACAGAAACCCTTTTGCCAAGTCCTAAGTGGAAATGACCAAAAGACAGGTGAAGTATGAAAGCCCTAATCCGTAAACCCACTCGGCTTGATCAGCAGTGTCACCTGGATGAGGACCCTGGAGCTTGACCAGTCAAACGTTGATGACTCTGGCAGCTAGGGTTCAGTTACCTTACCAGAGGCGCTCCTGTATTAAATTAGTCGACTTCCAGCCGGTCCTGATGAGCTTCCGGAATCTCCACCGATAAAACTATCAATCGCACACGAATATTCTGGCTCGTTATACCCCATTTATAAGGTCCATGGGCAAAGGCAGAGAATTTTATGCATTGCCCAACCCGTGTTCTTTTGATGAACTGTAAACTTTATTGCCTAGACCGAAGTTTTTGTCAGTCGTACGTTTACGAACGCTATGCTGTCGCCTGATTACTCCTCGAGAAACATAGGAAGACTTTATTGAGAATTATTGCAAAAGTAATCATTAGAAGCGAATTTAATAGACTTTCTATAAGAGTAGCAGTTGTAAGTTCAGTGTTTCTTAAATGTCGTAAAACCATAGATTTACTTTCAGGCGCCAAAAATGGACGAGACACACTAGGACTTGCAGATCTGTTTGTTGCCATTTTGGTCAACCTGGGAATGCCTCCAGCAGGATTCTGAGAAGCGATTTTTCTTCGAAAACGATTCTGTGTCTCAAAAATGCAGAAAAATTATTGGTGACGGAAAGGGACCGTATGAAAAGAACAGTTATCCAACTGACACACTTCATCTGTCTAGTTCTTATACACTTGCTTAGTGCATAGGAACCGAAAAGATGTGTTTGCACCCTCATTCATGAGTTCAGCTTATTTGGTCCTTAACTCTGCGTAACCACTCTACCCTAACCACTCGCCTCGAAATTAGTGCAACTGAACTCATTTCGCAGCATAATATGCATTTGAGAAGCAGACATAAATTAAAGTGGCTCACCTTGAGCTGCTTTATCTGGATCAGCTGATGCTTTGAGTTCTATCACTCGCTCAACCAGCTGATTGTAGCTTCGATCAGAAACAACCGAAATGAGTTCTGCATTTTCCGGATCCACCAACCAACCGTGGTATAGTGTGATTCGAAACAAATCAAACACACTCAGAGCCGGAGTGAATTCGAATGCGGACACTCTGGTAGAATGAAAAGAAGTTGTATTCTGGTCAGTTTGATTATCAGATTGACCTAACGTGACGGAGAAAAGGATTCTAGAGGAGTTGCTAACACAAGACAAGAATGATACGGTTACTTCCTTTCTAGCTAAGGAAAACTGGCAACGTACAAATAGAACCCTGTAGGTGCTCAATGACGGGGACAAGATGAAAGTGTTCGGCATCGTTGTCAACTGTTTCTCATGTTTCCCATAATGATGACTACCTACGAAAGAAAAACAGAAGGGCACAACAGCTTACTGGAGGCCATAGGTCACACCACCTTAATGGGGTTTTTGGTGTGATGAACAGATGATGAGTTCTGCCATGGAATTCACCCGAAAAGCGGGCTGATTAGACGGTCCACACTTTGACGCCAGATCATACACTGAGCATTTTAGGGCCATCACTCAACAAAATATGAAGAGCAAAAAATGCGCGGTCAGAATTACAGTAAACGCTGTTGGTTTGTTAGCTGGCTGGATGTACTTCTGGGGGGATAGGGTGAAAATGTCTAGGGTATCTAGTGGAACCACTAGGCACCGAATACAGGCCAGTCTGTAACTACGAGAAGCAGGCAGGACAGGCTACTGCCGATTTGGCTTCAAATCCAATGTAGCTTTAAAGTAAAGTTGGGAGCTTTATGCGTACAACTACGGTTCAATACACAAGGGGATTGGAGAGGATGGGGACACGATAATCCTGTCAGTGAATCCAAACTATACCGGAAAGCACTGTGCAGCTGTCTAATCACTATTGGGAATCCTCAGCAGTGCGCATCGCACGAAATTCAGAGTTTCGACCTCCCGGCCAATCGAACACCACAGAACGTATGCATGATGTCCTAATTTCTCGTTCGGTTACATCGTGAAGACGACGGACACGAAACCGCGTAACACTGTTCTTCTGTCTGCGTCATGAGGACTAGTTGCAGCTATCGTCTGTATGTGTCAGAGCACCAAAAAGAGAATTGGCGTTTTAAAAGCAAACTGAACAAGAATTGATCGATCTTAGTTTCACCCATCATAATTGGCGTTCATGTTTCGATCCTGTTAGTTACACAAAACCGACTGGTTTCCGGTATACATGACAAATGACTTGCTATCGTTGGATTCCCCTCATTTTCCTTTGTCCCCTATTTTTAATTGCAAGCAGCCAGATGAAAGCGAATCAACAAACTGACAAATATGGGTCGGAAACAAGAGTGTCAGGTGGTCCCGAAAAGTTTCGATATTTTGAAAGAGCTGGAATTTCGCTGTACAACAACGTACCAACTTGATGAATTCTACGCTTCGAAATGAGGAGTACACGTAGCATGAACGGACTCGGACAGTCGACTTCCCGCTTGCTAGACGGGTGTTCTATTGACTGACCTACCGACAACGCTCGCTTACGGTCATGCCTATACACCTGCACTTCATAGCTGATTCGCAGCACCTCTGCCTTATTGAACAACAGATTATACTTGTCAGTGCTACTCGTCTACCCCTTAAATGACTTCCATAACGGGCTGGAAGGCGGGATGTCGGCGGTTCAACTCATGTTGCATGTACCTGAAGTTCTCATTTCAATAACTATCAGATTTCTTTATACGCTCAAAAATTATACATATTTCCTGGCCCCGTGTGGAATGGTTTTACCATCAGGATCGACCGCAGTGAACCCTCGAGACCATAAAGAGTAGGTATGGACAATCACGCAGCGTTATTGATTCCAGTTATATGGCATCAAAGATCTAGGTACTGGAATACAGCCCGCGTTCCCAAATGACAGCACAAATGACCCTAGTATGGAACATTTAGGATGTACTTTATTGGATGTATGGGAGAACAGTCACATTTAGCCAAAATGTTTCAGCTCTAACACCCTTTCGGCACCTAGCTATTATGATAACAAAAACAATCGTTCAGCTGTAACACCATTTCGGTGCCTAGCTGCCATGCCACCAGAAGGAAGCACGAGGGCTGGGATACTGCCAAGTTGCCCAAGCCTGGACAGGGTTCGAACCACGGACCTTCCGGTCAGTAAAGTCCCGCTCTAACCACTGAGCTATCTCGCCCCAAGCTATCATGCCAGCTGAAGGAAGCATGAAGGATGCCCAAGTCTAGACAGAAGCAGTCGGGATTGGGTTCAAATCACGAACATTCCAGCCGGTAAGCTTGCGCGTTAATCACTGAGCTATCTCGAGCTCAGCTCACATTTGGTTAAGCAGGTATTAATTTAAAATGTTGCTCTTGTGATCACAACCAATCGGTGACAAGTTTGCTCACAGTTCGGCATCCTCAATGAACAAATCCACGGAATTTAATCTGGATTCAGCATCCACCTAAGACTCGTGCAGAGTGACTTGGAAAAGGAGAGGATTATAATATATGTACGCATTTACTCGGGCACATACTCCCTACCCCGTCTTCTTTTGAAAGTGAATACAGTGAATTAGCCGTGCGCGACCCGAAACATTACGTATGGATACGTATATGTACGGAGAAGTATAATGCCTAATGTATAAAAATAGGTCAGTGGGAAAGACAATTGAATAAGAATTACCCTGTAAACCGAACGTTGATATCAAGGCCCGTTTGAAGACTTGGAAACAGGTTGAAAGCATCGGCCACCGTAGTTTCATAGTTCAACAATTGGCCATCATCCAAGTCCTAAAGTAAATCATATAGTTGAAGCACAAAACAGAAGCTAACCGTGACAGGATGTGAGAGCAAAATATCACTGAGTAAGTTCACTAAACGCTGACCGGTTAGAACCTCTGTGCCGATAGGAAGACTCATCGTCCCGCGGAGAAGCAGTACATTTCCAATAGCTATGATTGGACACGGTCCGTTCTCGTTCTGAGTTATAATGGGTCGAGAAGTTCCTTGAAAGCTAATCCACTTGATATGATAGATGAAATCATTGGGGGAACTGAAGGCTGACGGTCTTGTGGGTGTCTTGATCTGTTCCGAAGCACCGGTCGCTGGTGGCTTCGACTGGGAAACTGGTATCGGCTGCGAGGAGTATTGTGATGCATTCACGTCAGTACAAAGAGAGGTAGATGCTGTGGTAGGTTCAACAGAAGGAGGCGACAAACCAACATGAACATGTTGGGCAACAATATCTTCGTCTGCAGTTGGGAGATCAGGGTTGAACGAATCCGAATGTGAGGATGAAGTAGAAGCCTGTAACGTCGAACATTCGGATGCCGGTTCAACAGAATGTTCACTCTGTTCACTACTTGTGGTTTGTGTAGTGGTCAAGTCCATCTCTAGCACGTACACGTGCTCTGGGTAGTATGCTTGGTTCTCCCTGTAAGATTGAACATGAGTACATGACGCGCTACATATAGGATTGAGTAAAAACACAAGTGACGTGGACAACAACAAACAAGTGATTCTGAAGAAGCACACAAGTATACGCGTAACCAGCAAAAAGGCGGATAGCAGGAACAAAAATAACTCAATTTCCAATTTACCAGCTACAAACCGCATGCCATATGCACATTGGTTCCCGCTGCTGCAGTTTCGACCACCGGTAAATGGGAAAAAGGAATGCACAACCAAGTGTTGAATGCTAAGGCGTGATCAGTTTGTTCGGAAATTAGGTATCTACCCACTGGAGGCGATAGCTTTGATGCACGAGCAACACTGACTGCGCGATTGGACCATTTCTGCCAATGTCAGTAACCATTGGTGATTTGAGTCCCGAGGTCCCCATCCAGGAAGGTGACAGTTGCCAACCCGATTAAGTTTACTGTTTTCGCACTTCGGTGCCACGTCATACAGTGTCCACCTCTCAGTCGCCTCCACTCAGCACAGGGCTGGGAGAAAAGAGCTCTGCGAGACAGACGGTCTTCTGGCATGCGGAGCACATGTCCCAACCAGTACAACCTGTGAAGCCCAAGTAATTCATTTATTCCGGGAGAGTTCCTTCTTCCGGAGACCACCTGGCATACCTCAGCATTACCAATCCGATTTTCTCACCAGATCTGACCAATGCTGCGGGGACACCGATGATCGAAAACTGACACCTTCCGTATTTCCTCTGCGCGTAGGGGCCACGTCTCTGATCCATAAAGCAGTATGGATCGCACCAACACAGTCCAAACTCTTCCCTTGACAAACAAACTCACGCCACGTCGGCGCCATAGGTGTTGGAGGATGAAAAACTTCCCTGGTCTGTTCGATTCGAGAAGTAGTCTCATCTCCAGTCAGTCCAGCGGAATTCATACAGCTGTCCAGGTAAACAAATTTACCTACCACGTCGACTGGCTGACCTGCAAGTATGAGGCGTGGGCCTTGTCTTACACCACTGGACGTGGTGAACTTGGGCGAGAGCCTCCTGTACACTGTAGGTACCCACAGGAGTTCGCATACAGTGCCCTCATAAGGGAGAGAAATTTGAAAGGGACACCACTGATCGCCAGACACTGCCAAATTTGCTGACGATCGACAGTATCAAAAACAGCTTTCAACTCAAGAAAAACGATCAACGTGAGACGTCTGAAGGAGTGGTGCTGTTCAATAATTTGTTTCAAGATAAAGATATGGTCGATGCACCCTCGACCAGGGCGAAACCAAGCTTGATTCTCATGAATCTGTCTCTCCCGATCATTCAGCAACCTGCGCAAAATAATTCCAGAGAGAACTTTAGATGCGACGGATACCAGGCTGATACCATGATGGCTTGCTCCATTTTTGAAAACTGGGATGACGGTCGAGGAGCTCCATTCGGCTAGTATTCTATTTTCGTTCCAAATCTTCTGCAGTATGGTTGTCAGAGTGTTCACCAAGATCTCCCCACCTTCTTTGAAGAGTGCGGGGTGTAGACCATCCCGGCCACGTGCCTTGTCGCTCTTCGGGATTGAAATCTCACGCTAAATTTCGGTTGCCGATGGCGGGTTGGTGTTAATGTTCCCTTCGGGCCAGTTTGGTTCTTTTAGTGGTTGTGTTGAAGGAGACCAAGTGGACTGTTATCCGAAGTGCTTGGCCCGCCGCTCAAGACGGCGAGGGAGGGAATGAATTGCTGTTCCGTCTTTTTTCACATACTGTTCCACTGACACTTGTTTTTTACCCATTAAAACAAAGCGGGGCTGTTGCCTGAAGCGGAAGCCTTCTTCATATCCTGGGTCTTCGAAATCCACCAGCGTTCTCTGCCATTCTTCAAGCTCCTGATTGTTCAACGTTTGAGGGATCTGTGTGCGCCATCATAGTCGCTAGTTGCTGGTATGACCTTTCTGGCAGCAATAAGACCTGCTGATCTTGAGGATATCCAGTGTTCATTGAGTCGAGTCAGGTGGACCGGACAAACAGTTCTGAAAGCTGACAGCATTGCTTCTCTAACTCGCCTCCATTAATCTTCCAAGTAGTCTTCTTCGTCCACATGATTGTGCGTTTCCAGTAGCTTTCTGGCCAGATGAACTCGATACTCTTCAGCTACTGAAACTTGTCGAAGTTGATGAACGGAGCTGCTCTCTTTCGGAAAGTGTATTGCTGACGGAAAGCGAATTGCTAAGCGGACCCGAATGAGGACGTAATCAGAGTCAAGTTGCGTACCCCAGAAGGAACAAAAATTCTTAACTGAGGCTCTCCATCGGCAACTGATGGCCATATGGTCCAAGTGAGTCCACGACTGTCTTGTGGTAAGTGACCTCCAAGTAACTCGGTGCGTGCTTTTGTGTTGGAAATTCGTGCTGGCCAGGAACAGACGATGATCTGCACACAACTTAAGCCACTCTCCATTATCCGTACGTTCAATATCGACTCCAAATCGACCACCTAACTGTGATTCTTCCGAACTTAGTCGTCCAACTTGGGCGTTCATATCACCGGCCAAAATTACTATATCCGTCCTTCTTGCCGACCGAGGCAGCCGTGACATCTTAAAAAAACTCGTCCTTCTCAGTCTCAGAGCTGCATCGACCTGCGTTAATTTTAACTGATCTAGACAACCGCACGGTGCAAAGGCGACTGTTTACTGGGATCCAGTCCAGTAAGGCGCTTTAAGCCTTGGGGCTGCGTGCAACTACCACATCGTAGATACCACGAGCCACTGCGCAGGATCACCGGATGTCCGAAGAGTGAAATGTGGAATAACTTGGCCCGTCCTAAGCGGTTTGGGTAGCACGACCAAAATTGGGTCCAGCATGCGTGTTTCGGAGGCAACATATATCGACAGAGAGGGGAAGTGGGGCGAGATGGCTCAGCGGTTAGAGCGCGAATTTATTTAATGGAAGGTCCGTGGTTCGAACCCAGCCTCTGCTTTTCGACTTCTGTCTGGACTTGTGCAACCTGACAGTATCCGAGCCCTCGTACTTCCCTCTGAAGGCATGGCAGCTATGCACCGAAAGGGTGCTGCAGCTGAACGTTCAGAGAGGAAAATTAAGGTTTCAGTAAGGGATGCCTGTTGCCCTATTTGACATAGAGTAGGGACATCAAAAGCTGCTGGTCGCCTGGGGGAAACGCCTTACTGCCTTCACACTCCTCTTGCAGAGGACAGCACGACTTTACCTCCAGACCGCCTCGTAATACAATTACTCGCAGTACGTAAACTCGCTTTTCTTCATCTGGCTGCTCCCCTTTGGTCTTTCTCGCATGGTTGGATCTTTAGGAACTGAGCTCCAGCCAGTATAGCCTACAGGATCCTTGCAGCACAGAAGCTCGGCCACCACAACAAGGTGACAGCTTTGGGTCGGGACAGGGACGAAAATCAAGCTCCTTGCCTTAAGCCTACCACCATCGCAGCACTATCTCACCCACAATAAGTTACCGCATCCCTATCCAAGAAATCAAGATTGTCCGCAGCATAAGTGAGCCCCTGGCTGATATTTACAGTCAATAAGTTCGCGCTTTAACTACTGAGCTATCTTGAGCTCAACGTAAGTGCAGGCTGGAAACTGAGCAAAAATTCACAATAAAGCTCGTCTCTATCGGAAACGATAATGCAGCCCGATAGTATACACACAAGAATCACGAACAACCTAAGCCCTTTTAACCACCGCCGGTCGACCACTTCCTTTATTTGTATTCTCTCCTGGGGCGAAAGTTGATCCCGCATACAATACGGTCATTCTTGAAATCGATGGATATTACGAAGTGCCCTGAGTTCTCTTGGAACGCTGCAACGAATATCCATGAGCGGGGTTAGCTCATGGTGCTAGCAGCTGGAAGGGCAACGCAAACTGTTCAACTAGCCTTGGAATTCACTCCTCCAGGGAAAGAAGACTGTGGTCTACGCCTTTTTTTGAAAACACGCAAATCTCCAGAATTTCAGTACGACAATACATTGTTTACGAGGAGACTTACTGCCTCGTTCATCCAATTGTGATAGCACATCAGGTTTGATATCCAAAATGCCAACAGGGGTAGAACTGTGCTTCTGGTGTATTTCAATCCAACATGGCTCCTTGTCAGTGTAAGGCCTGACCGCATTCTGCGAATGTATGGCAAACACAATTGGTACCGGTCACGAAATTCTTGGTTTGGGGGTGAGTTTCTTGACGAAAGAGTGAAGTGGCACTTTGTACCTCACTGAAGTTATCACCATCGACAGCATGACATGAGTATTAAATACTGATAGTTCGCTGCCGTAGAGCCACAATTTATTTGAAAGCCTTATTGTGAGGAAAAGAATAAATGAATGAGGAAGACTAACGCCAGGTGAAAGTTTGGGCACCTCTCTCATTTCGCCACTCTAAAGTGGACATTAAACACTCTCTTCAGAGCAAACGACGTGATGTGCGCAATACGTCGTCTAAAGACGTATTTTTAAGCCTTTAAGCCGGACACATTCTTCAATTGAAGCCCCTGTTGCGTAACCGAACTCTTGCCTGACACCACTTGATGCAGTGAACTTAGGTGAGCTTTCCACGGGAGCAGAAAACCAACGTCGTTGGTTGCTGGAAGCAGTGTCGCTATTCCGGAATCTGTTTGTTATATATTTGCTGTTTTTCAAACATTTCATTGTTGTTGCTAAATCACTTTCTTCCGCTTCCAGCTCTCAGTGTCAAAGTTTTGGATGAATAAAGCCTAGCTTTCGGGCCCTCAGTCTTTTCCATTGTCATTCTGATTGTCTTTGCACTCCGACCCTCGTCGTACACAACAATTTATTCATCCAAAAAAGTCTTCGAACAATGGATCGATTCTTATGTCCTGAACTATTCGATACCGACCCCAATACTCAAGACTCGGCAGATACCTGGGAGCATTGGTTTTGTACTTTCACAAACTTCCTAGAGTCAATCGGTTCTCATTCACCAGATAAACTGAAAACCTTGTTCAATTACGTCTCCCCTAGTGTTTACCGATTCATCAAAGACTGCAAAGACTATGAATCAGCCATCGAAACCTTGCGAGAAATTTACGTACAGCCAAAAACTGAAGTTTTTGCACGGCATCTTTTGAACACTTGTAAACAGGACGGAGCTCAGAACCTTGATCAGTTCGTGTAGAAGCTTCGCAGTTTATTGTCAGACTGCCGCTTTACAGCCGTCAGTGCAGAACAGCATACCGGTGAAGCGTTGCGAGATGCGTTTATTAGCGGACTTTATTCCAATACTATACGCCAGAGACTACTGGAACATAAGCCGCTGGATTTTAAAACCGCGTACGACCATGCAAAGTCCCTCGAACTAGCGCAAAAACAGTCGTCGTTTTTGCCGAACACTCAACTTCCCTGTGCCACCGTATCGAACGACACGCCAAAGTCCCCACGTTCTCAAACGTCATCGCACGAGCAGGCGACTGCTGCCAGTGTGGGGTCTTCATGTTTCTTCTGTGGCTATGCTCGTCACCCGAGATATAAATGCCCCGCTAAAGATGCGACCTGCAAAAACTGTGGGAAGAAAGGGCATTTTCAAAAGGTATGCAGATCTACTGGTCCGCGGAACACCTCATCTGTTTCAAGTGCGCTATCTTGCGTCACTGCAGCGGCTCCCGAGTGTCTAAAAGAAGCAGTCACCGATGTGAAAGCCAATGGTGTCCCGCTTCGAGCTCTTGTTGATACTGGTAGCTCAGAAAGTTTCATTTCCGAAAAGGTAGTCCGTCGTAACAAGTGGTCTGTACTACCATCGTCAT